GAATAATTTTTTTTTGTGTCGTTTTATACATGACAAGCGTAATAATAATATTTAAATTACGACGACAATGCAATGTGACAACGTTGTTGTTTGAAAATTTTCTCTCAACGAGTCGCACAAAAAAAAAGTAAGCAAACAAACCTCCGTTAAAAAAGGCATTTATCGACATTCAATAAGATCAGTGTTGTTATTTTGAGGTTGGTAGTAGGGAGGATCCTTGTTGTTCTTATTTTTAATCATTCTTTAAGGAATGTTTTGCCAATCGATTCTATGAAATTGTTAAAGTATTTCCCGAATGGCACAAGTTGGTTAATCGATCAGAAATCTGGCTCCAAGCTGGTGTGGCTCTGGCATAGTGCTGGATTTAAATCGAAGCTAGAACCATGCCAAAGTCATGCTGGCTCGGCACCGGATTTCTATTCGATTAACCAATTTGTGCTACTCGGGTTTGTTACTCAGATCTTGAGATGATCAAATGGTCCGATAAACTTTGACTGTCATTAATACAGTTTCAGCGTTAACTGTCGATTTATACTCTTTAGGGCTAGTATTATGATCAATAATTATGATCAAAAATCCCAGACAAAGCTTTAATTCCAATAGTTTCCACTCATAAAAACTGTAACACTTTCTTCAAAAATCGACAGCCAGCTTATATGAGTGTTTTGGAACAGACACCAAATTTTAATGCTCTGATGTTCAGGGCAGTTGCCATTTGGACGAAATACACACTTGTTTCAGAATTGCTTACAGTTTTGAATTGAATAAAGCAAAAATAATGGTTATTTGATGCCTGGTTGATTGTGGGGAAAATGTCCAGCCTCGGAATCTAGGGGGTATTTTAAAGGTGGTATTTCATATAAAGAGGCGGTATATGGGCCTATTCAGCGGTATTTGTAATGAATTGAAACAGAAAAAGAAAATGCAATTGGGTAGTTAAGTCTTGAGCAGATAATATTTGGGCAATCGCACCACACCCTTTTCAATCTTACATCAACATCCCTAACCAACGCAATATCCAGCCCATCAAGATTAACAACACTGTACAAGATGATCTTTTTTTGGTATTTTACCCATCATGATTGCACACGTCCGTACGAACAAATATGAGTTTATGCATGAGAAGAATGACAAATAATTAACAAAGAAAATATGTTAATTATCCTTGGAAGTGGCAAAATCGTATTTGGAAACGCCTCAATTTTTTTGCCTCCTTTTCTTTCTCATGTTCATTTTTGGATTTTGCTGGTACGGCGTTTAAAGGTAAGTAACGGTAAAAGATTTTTATTCTTAAGCCAGATGTCGATTATGGAAATTTCCCAAAAAAAAAATATTCCTTCAAATCTCTTCCATTTTGAGACAATTTGTCGAGTAATTTTTTAATCACCTTTTTCCACGCCGCAACTCACATATAGTCAATTATTCACCGACTAAAGCAATTATATTAAATGTTCGTGATCAATTACTTATTCAATATTTTTCCTACAATGATTTATCATCATATAAAAATTTAAATATCAAAGTCAGGGCTGAGAATTTTTAATTTTTATAATGTTAATAAAAATACTTAGCGTCTATCAAAACAGTAAAGAGATAAGCTACAGGCACTTACTAGATGTCTTACATGAGAAGGATTTTTGAATTGCTAATTTTATGAAGTTTTGTCATTAACGAAATGTGGTTTTTGGGATGTTCAGTTTGGGAGTGCTGAGTTGTAGATTCTTCAAGGATCAAGGAGCTATTTGCTTAATGGATACAGTGTCGGTAACATTTGATCTTGTAGGTTGCTATTTGTAACGATGCAGCATTATAGTTTATTGGCTGGATGAGAATTTAAGACTTGATAGCTCAATTCATAAGACATATTTTCTTAAATGTATAAATCGGGTTCAAATCCTACTCCAGAACCAATGATTCTTGTTACTGACAGTGTGAACATCTGTTGTATGCTGTCAAAATATCCAATTATTGCTTTTAATGTTTCTAACTCTAATTAGATGTCATATAATGATCTTTGTAAGTTCACAATTTAAATCTTGAAGCGTTTTTAAGTTTAGGCTGCAAAAGTGAACATCTTGGTGCAGCCATCTACCTTTTTGCTTACTCTTCATTCAAGAATGATGAACCTACAACTCTTATCCATTTAAACTATTGAGCTAAGTTGAGTCTTTATCAATAAAATAAAACTAACACAACAGCCATCATATTACAAGTTTTCTCGATCAAAACTTCAGGGATAAACATCCTACAACTTCCATTTATCAAATATCAAAGTCAATATTTCTGGATCTTGTTTAGATAATTCAAAACTTAAGACTTTGAACTTTACTAGAATCGAATCATCCAAATTGCAATCTAGACTTTGATGCAATTATAATTAGTTCCAGTTAACAAGGTAGAATCAATTATTAAGCAAGCAATTCACATCAGGAAACTCAAGCACCTTGAAGAATTCCAAAAACTGATCTAATTTCAAGTAAATCACATCAAAAATGCGCTCATGCCATTCCATCATAATTAATTCCGGTAAAAATATCATTTTTCTCTCTCGATGTCATTAAGCTATGTCAGGTAATTAAAGCTAGTAAACAATTTTCAATCTAAAGCTTATAAATATTCACACATATAAATTTATGCCATAATTAGCACCTTTTCAGTTCTTATCTCTCGATTGTCATTTAACACGCTCAAGTAATGTTCATCATAAGCAGTACAAGCTTGTAATATTGACATTCCTCTACTGTAAAGAAATCATATTGAAATAACAGTTGTTGTGCTGAGGATGATATTATCGTGAGATAATGCAAGCAATGACACTCGATGAGTTTTCATGCGCTACATGCAATCTTATAAGTGCAAACTTTATGGCAAATGGAATTTCAAGAATTTTATCATTAAATTGTTCATAATGTACATATTTATTTGATATTTGCATGCATGCATGTGCGCCTCGATTTCTTTAACTTTTGTGAAGTTGTCATGATTTTCTTTCAATTGGTTTAAATTGCTTTTTGAGAGATCCGGGTGGAAGTTGGCTGACATTCAAGGTGCTTGAGGTCCTTTGAAATTTTACTTATTATTGAGGAGATTGAGGTTATGTAAAAACTTAGGAGCTTTAGAATCTAGGCCATAATTTCCTTGAACCATTGAAATTGAGGGATGAGGCGGTTGTTGTTAGACTTATTTTATGTTCAATGTTGATAAGGGGTCGTTCACTTATGACGTCCAAAATTAACGGTCATTTTTCAAAAAAGAACAATGGATTTCCAGAAATTTCTATTGTTCTTTTCTTGATGACCCCCCCCCCGGACGTCATAAGTGAAAGAGAAAGTTTCAGATTTGATCAAATGTCCAGCGAATTTCACACAAATAACTTTCCCTTAATCATTGAAATCATCCACAGCAAAACCAGCTCCAAGAACTTCATGTTGCTGAACAATTCTTTTATTTCTTGTGAATTCATTTGCATGCCATGAAAGTTGCGTCGCAGTCAATAATAGTTGCAGTGTTTGGTTGTTAATTGAGACATTGAATGGAAATCGCTCGCCATAATTCTTTCTGACACTTTGTTTTTTATACACTGAACACACTGCCAAACCCCAAAAGCTCCGACTGCAGTTTATGTCTTACTTTTTTACACTTTATTGATGTGACAGTGATCAGAATTGTCAATTAGCCAATGTGTTGAATCAGTATCGAGCATTTCGAAGCACTTATGTCACAAATATGTAAATTAGAGGCAATTGTGAACATTGATGAATTGACAAATTGCGAAGAAATAAATTTTTTTTTCATGGAATGTGAATTTTAAATTTAAATTTTATTACTTCTTTACTTGGAGCCTCTCAGTGCTCTTTTTTTTCCACAGCAAATGTTTAATGCATACCCAGTTAACTGGATGATTGATTGGCTGGGTGAGCAATTTCCTATGAATAAATTTATTTCACATTCTGAACTGAATTTTTCTCAATTTATAGACTTACGTCTGATCAAATAAATCTTGATGCTATAGTTTTCATCTGAAAAGTTCAAATTTAAAGTTTAAGGCAATCAAACGAGCGATTTTCAATTTTTTAAAGCTTTTACATTTTATTAAAATTTCAAAATTTACAAAACCGTTAAATTTTCAAATCTTACAAAAGCTGTTGAAATTTTAAATCCTACAAATCCGTTACAGACTTTTTAAACCAATTTTCATGCGCTTAATTACAGCAATTTCTGGCAGCATTCCATCTTCAATTTTCCATTGCACATAAAAATAAAAAAAGTTTTTATTAACAAATTAAAACAATGACGTATTCCGTGAGTGATTAAACAGAATAACATCATCTGATCTTTTGCGTGACTTTATAAATAAATAAGTGAGCAATATGAAATGTTTCCATTTAATGCATATAAATCACATAAAGCGATCGAATTGATCGATTGGTTGTTGAACCGAATTATTAATGAATACAAAATACAATTTTCATGCGGCGTGTTGGAATGGATGCAAAAAAAAAGATTTTCTAAAAATAAAGAAATGTTAACAAAATTTTCTGTGCCTGAAATAGAATTATTAGAATCTTGCTTTATGTTTTCTTGTCCTTTTACATCAATTATGCTTGGGTTTGACAAAAATAACGGTCTCAAAATATTTGAAAAAAAACGGTCTTAAAATATTTGAAAAATAACGATCATAAGTTTAATTACAGAGTGACAACAATCATACAGAGTGACAAAAAACATTCAAAGTGTAAATTTAAATCCAAGGATTTAATGTAGGATTAAACTCAATACCACTTGTGCGAAGTCATCATCTATTTCCATTTAACGTAGTGGAATCTCTGTTCTTATTTTAGACATTTATGTCTGTTTAAGGCACTAATGAGAATGTTATGAATGAAAATCCACAAAATACTCAAGTTGAAGCTACTTGATATCTAGAATTTAATAACTTTGAGTGGTCTTTATGAGTCTTGATCCCCAACTGTGCTGAAAAAGAATTAAAATTCATTACATTTGAGTTTTACTTCGCAGTTTTATTGCGATTTAAAGAACTTTATTAACACTAAAAAAATTTAATTTTTCGCTTATATAAAGGAAGAATAATTAACATCAATTGATATAAATTTCTTTGAAGTTAGTGATTCGATCGATAGGTAAGAGCCAAACAGAAGAAATGCAAAAACATAAGTAGAAGAAATGGCAATGGTTAGTGAGCTCAATAATCACTTTTACAAAACATAATGGTAATATGCAGCATAAAAAATACTGAAGGTGGAAATCATGACAGAGTTAAGATACATAAAATGCCTTTTATTGTTCATTCTCATTTTCCTTTGCCCCATGCTTCAAGATTCTAGTGAACTCGATATAGTCAAACAAATTGTGCTTTATTGGAGCTTCACGATACATCTCATCGACCTTGAATAAAATAGAAATTGAAAGAGATTAATAAGCAATTAAAATATTTTTGGAATTTTTTTAAGAGCTGAGGATGATTTAATATTCAAGTTGCTGCTTTTGATAATGAAACTGTCGATTTGTGAACGAAGATGATTGGTCTTTAGAAGTTTTGAGTTCATTGAACAGTCATTTGGAGTTAAATCTTGTGATTTTGTGCCAAATCATTATCATATCCATGACAAATCAGCAAATCATTATCGTAAAAAGTTCATTTCCTTACCTCTTCGTCAGTAAATCTATCGCCCATTGTAGTTAACAACTCTCTAAGACGATCCTCTGAAATATGTCCATTATTGTCTTCATCAAAGCATCCAAAAGCATTTTTAATAACATCCTCTGGATCAGTTCCTTGTAATCTCTCACCGAAGAGAGTAAGGAACATTGTGAAATTTATTGGCCCAGGCGCTTCATTCATCATTGCCTCAAGATAATCATCTGTTGGATTCTTTCCTAATGATGCCAACATGTCATGAAGATCCTCCTTTTCGATGAATCCATCACGATTTTGATCGATCATATTGAATGCTTCCTGGAAATTAATCATTAACGAATTAGTCGAGTTTATAAGGAAATTGATGATTGAGTGAACTTACTTTGAATTCTGCAATCTGTGCTTGATCAAACATAGCAAAAACATTGCTAGTTGCTCTCTGTGCACGTTTTTTGGTCGTTGCACGACGTGTTGCTGTCTTCCTTGATGACATTATTAACTGGAAATGAATAAACGCTATTTAAATAAGGTCTTAACTTTTTTTTGAGATATCGCTCGAGCAAAGTGAAATGAATTATGCTTCCACACACGAAAATAGCAATTAAGGTGAGTCACCAACGCTTCATTTTTATTATCAATGACAAACAGAAGTGTTAATATTCGCCGATTTCCCTTGTATGTGAATTCTACATGAATGTAGGTAATGTAATGCAATACGAAGCAGTTACAGTAAGCAAAATAAATAAAACTTATTTTTTCATTAAGCCAAAAATGGAAATATTGTTGATGTGAAAGACATGACAATGTTGAATTAAAAAAGTCTACTGTATGTGAGAGAGTAGAAAAGGAGGTTGATGTATGCGCAAAAATAATAACGTAAGCAGGCAGACATGTCCATAAATGGAATAAAATTGAGATTCAATGCGAATAATTTTGGACACAGCACAGAGACAAATTGCACAAGCATTTCTTTCATCCCCGAATGCTTCTCTGTCTCGCGATCATTGGAATTTCACAAACACATAACAAAACGAAGAAAATGTAAAGGCAAAGAAAGAAGAAATGTTGATGACTCAGATGTTGGATTAATTTAATTATTCATCATTTAAACAGTCTTTTAATCACTCCGGATGTTGCATTTTTATCACTTTATACTGTTATCTTTTGTGTATTCTTCTCTATTTGTCTTGGAATTAAGGAATTAGGTAGAAATGTCTTGAAAACATGAATTCTTATTTGCGAAATTTTAAAACTTAATTTTAAGTAATAAATCATATTATTTTTCACTGTTCTTCGATTTTATCCTGTTTATTGGCACTTTACTTACAATAATATATATGTTTAAGCACTTGGAAATCAAGAATAAGACTATAAAATTAAGTTTTAGTTGAACTGCACTTTTTGTTAATCTTCAATATGAATACAATAATCCGAACTCAATTTATCCGAACGTCATTTTAAAAAATTAACGTATTTTCAAGTATTTTTTTGATTTATGAATTTAGACATCTTTTAAGATGATTTTGAACTCTCTTGACATATTCATTGTTTGCGTATTAAACCATGTGATCAAAAGGATTATTTAAATCTGCTAAGTTAAAGAGAAAATAGTACTTATTTTAAAAAAAAATGTTCAACAGTTTTCTCAAATTTGAAAAACATTCAGTAAATCAAAACATCATTTCATTTCATTTCATTTCAGTTCATTATTGTGTCGAACCAATCCTTCAAAAATCTTGTTAAACTAAGTAAATTCGCATTGTAATGCTGCTAAACTTCTAGAACAAGATACAAATAAGCATAAATAACTGGAGAGGAATTAAGGAATTACGTAAAATAGGCAAAAAGAACAACTTTTACAACTCATCAAATTTTGTGAAATTCAGAAACTAAGAAAAGGAATGGATTTTTCTGTAAGTTAAAAGATTGTGAGCTTATTAGCACTTCGACTAGTGAAATTAAATTACTGAACATTAGTTTTCCTCATATTTCAGAATCCCAACAAACTACCGATCCATGAAGTCATTCTGTATCACGAAAAGGAGAAAATCTGTGCTCTTGTAAGTTACAAAAGTCGATACAAAATTTCTAGGAATCTTATGAATCCATTTATTACTTCTAGAATGCAAAATGGACAGAAAAAAGGTGCATTACAAAGTATATTCCATTAAAATTCAAAGGAGGAAAGATTTTTGACAGCTTTGATGAAGATGAATGGATGGGCGAAAATAAATTATTTAATAAGGATTTGGAGTGGATTCTTGGGTTGAACTTCCATCGGTAAGTTAAAATTATTTTTCTATTCTCACATTTGTTTCCTTTAAAACTTGTTCCTCCTCGAAAAACTTACCAAAAGCTTCTCAGTTGGAGCTAATGAAGGAATTTTTGGCGTAAATTCAATTTCCCTTAGTGGACTGACTAGCTTAACATCATATTTAGACAGTAAAGCACACAAGCAAGTCTTTATGACAATTAATGACATTCTATTGCCTATACATGAACGATTTCCATGTCCAAAACTTAATAATAAAGAGTTTTTGTTGTCAAATCGATCTGGATTGAATTCTGTTGGATTTTCAAAAAGTTCTGGGTTTCTTTGCATTGCGTAGACAGGAACAATAATTGGAGTTCCTTTCGGAATGACAAGATCTGTATTAGGAACTCGATAGTCATGTAAACATTCTCTGTTAAGTACTGGAATTACAGGATACTTCCTTAGCGTTTCATTGACGCAATTCTCAAGATATTTAAGCTTGCTGATTTTTTCATAGCTAAATTCTTCATTGTCAAGTTCATCGATCTCTGCCTGAACTTTTTTTTTATTTGCTGAATTTTTCGCAAGCTCATAAAGACAGTATGAAATTGTTGCAGATGTAGTCTCATATCCAGCAATAACAAATAGAAACAAATTTGCAGCCACTTCATTTAATGTAAAGCTGTCTGCGTCTGTTGATTCACTGCCGTTTGCCTTGCGTAGACCTTCGTTTTTCAATTGCATGAATAGTTGCAAAAAGTCATTTCTGTTGATATCAGTTTCTTCTCTGTATTTGATTGTTTCCTTTGTGATGTCTAGAAAGAACTTGCTGACCTCCTTATCGAACACGCAGATTTTAAATATTTTGCTTATTTTTGGCATAAAAAGTGCAGTTACAAGTCGAAAATTATTAAAAAAGTTCTGATCTAAGACTTTAAGTGATGTGAGACGGAACAAGTTGTTGGGCTCATTAATGCAATCATTCTGAGTACCATAAGCAATTGACGAAATCATTGTTAAATTGAAATTAGACGATAAATCACGAATATCGGTGATAAAAGTTTTATCAAGTTCTAAATTGTCGCTTATGTAATTATCGAGGATGTCCACGCTATCTTGTATTATTGGCAGCATCATTTTAAGTTTTGAGGTCGAAAACAGCGGCGTTAATTTCTTTCTGAGATTGTTCCATTTTTCTCCAGGCAGTAAGAAAAGATTTTCAGTTAACGGATCAATCGTCGGGTCAATGAATATGCCACGATCATGAAAATAATGAAAATCTGTCGCCAATATTGTTTTTGCTAATTCTAGGTCATTAATGATAATTAGTGGACGATATGAGAAATAACTTCCAACGATTGGCGATGACTGGAATGAAACGCATGAATCTCCATAAAATTTAGCTATCGACTTTCTTTGTAGAACAAGATCCTTTATGTCTCCTATTAATATTGTTTGATTGTCTAATTGAGGAATTCCTTTATCCTTCCAGTATGTAAATTGCTTTCTATCAAAGTAGTACAAAAGTATCACAATAAACACAATTGCTAAAATAACGAACATTTTCCTTCAAGTACTTTACAAAGACTGACTTGATTGTTACTGAATTTACTGTAAATGCTTTGCTTAATACTGAACAGCTTGTATAGTTTTCCTGGTTTGTTGATGTATTTTTCTAAAATGTTTTTTGCAATGAATGTTGTGGATTGATCCGTTTTGGGATTACTTCGTAGGAATCAAGTTCTATTACAAGCCAAAAAAAAAACTATGCCTTATCAAAAAAAAAAAACCAACTTAACCGAGTCTCACATTGTAGTTCTGTGCAAAAGTGCATCTTGTTGCATGCACAGACACATTCATTCCGTTCAATTTGACTTTGTAATCGACTGATTCTGAATTATTCATTTGTGTGGTAAATAAAATCGATGTAAACTCAAGGCTGCATGTGATGTAAATTGTATATGAAGTTAAGCAAATGTGTTTGGTGCATTTTTGATGATGTATTCTGACGGAGTTAATTTTAGACTCGTGAATATATTGCGAGTGGTTTTGGGTTGGTTGATGGATGTACTGTAAATGTGACACTTGAGCTGCAGTTCATTAAAATTTTAAAAATTAAAGTTCTACAGCCTTTTTGTAATATAATCTGCTTTTATCGGTTACGGAAACCACATCAAGCTAGCAATATTCTATTGCAAACTAACTTGTAATCCACTTATAGATTCTGGTCGCACGTGATTTATGACAAAGAATTTCTCAATCCACTCCTTCATTTTCTACAAGAATCAACACCATTTTATATTCCATTGAGAGACCTTTTTTACGATAATGAACCGCTTGTTGAGCTGTACGAGAGAATTTGTCGCAACGCACTGGTCATTATATGTCGACTGATAACAAATCGTGAATCGGATGAGGAATTTATGACTAAGGAGAAGCAAGCTGAGTTGATTTATGGAAACTATGTAATTTCTGTTCCCATGTTATTTGACATTGTTGCACTTTATGGATACAATAATCGAGATTTAGTACAGAAAATTATTACGACGGTGCTGAAAATTGAGCCAAAATATTCGAATGACTTGAAAACTGGAATAAAATTTGTTCGTGACACGTTAGGGACAATAAAGGAACAAATATCGTTGATCGAGAAGGAAAACCGTGATTTATTTGACAGTTATGAGGATGTGAGTCTATACTTGATGAATATTTCATCGACACTAAATCTTCTTGCCGAACTTGTTCCGAATGATATTAAAAGCTATTGCAGTCATGATTTACATCTTGAGCAAGCAATTGCCATATTTTATGATAACACAATTCCGATACTTTATCAAAATTCGATAGAAGTTGATTCATCAGCATGGTTCCTTAACTTTATCAATTATTCACGAATCGAATTGATTCATGCATTTAGGAATCTTTTGAATAAAAATCTTTTGGCTATTTTTAATGCAAATGAGAAAGCTAGACTGAAGATTGCTGATGAAATTCTTTGCTCATTCACTGAAATTGCTGGATATCGATTGTTTATAGCTGACTATATTAAATTTTATCCTATTGAGATGGATTTGGATGTTTTAACACAAAGTGTTCTGAAAATGTAAGTTAACTGTTTTGGGTATGATGTCCATGTTGCTTTATACTTTTTATTCTATTCCAGTGACAAAATTAAGCTAGATTTCGTTAAGGATGCTTTCAAACTTGAATCATCCAACATCCCAAATGGATATCATGGACAATCCAATAATTCAGAAAAGCCGAGTGATTATGAAATTGATGAATTAGAAATGGAAGGTGCTTGTGCCTTACCGTTAAAGAAAGAAGGTCCACAACTTCCTGACAAAGATACAGAAGACTTTGTTCAGCTAGAAACAACTAAAATATTGGAATTGTTTCCTGATTATGGTGCTGGATATATCAGAAGACTGTTGGCATTTTATGATAATAATTCTGAGACTGTTATTGCTAAGATGCTTGAAGGTAGGATAAGATATAGCTGTTGTATTCTTAATTTCTCTAAAACTTGTCAATTCTTTAACAGACACTCTTGATGAAACGCTAAATAACTACGACAAGCAAGAGCCTTATATTCCACCTGAAACTGAACCTTTACCGTCAACATCAAGTGCTTTGAGCACTACTGACCGCTATATAGAAGAATTCGGTGGGCATGTGCTGAAAAATGGTAGAAACTTGACAAAAAAACAACCTAAATCATATGCAGACTTGATTAATGATAAAAGTCATGTTAATGATATGAGAGATCGCTATAAGCAGTATAATTTAGTCAGTGATGTAATTGAGGACAAGGACAATGAATATGATGACGAATATGACGATTCTTATGAAGTTTTTGCTGATACAGAACCAAAAATTCATATTCGTGGAAGGATGCGTGAAGCTTTACCAGACGACATCGATTCAGATACGAGTGAAGAAAGTGACGATGGGGAAAATCAACAGCCGAAGAAAAATCCACTCGATTTTTGTGAAAATCCTGAAGTAATTCGAGCAAGACGTGAACAAAGATTTCAAAGTAAAATTTCTAAAAAGCAACCAAATAAGCCAGTTGCTGAAAATAAAAGTCGGGATGTTGTTGGAACTGCAAAAGGTCAAGGACAGAGTAATGATGTCCTACGAAATCGTCAGCAAAAGAACACTAACAAGTCATCTAGAGCTAATCATAGTCGAAAAGCTGGAAGTACATTTAAACAGAGTCGTGGAATGTATTAAGTTATGAAAGTATGTTTTGTGCTGGAATCTAGTTTAATAAAAGGAATCAAACGTTTTTTATATTTAAGAATGAATTTCAGTTTTTTCAGGATCCGCATATCGAAACCGATAAAGTTAGGAATTTATGACCAATTCCTGACACCAGATGTCATCATCGACAGCAACATTCCGTCAAAAAATGTAAAATATTGGAAAATTGTTGTGGTAGGGACAGAAAAAGTGTCGAATAAGCACGATTTCATGACACATGTATTGATATGTGAGTATATGAAACTTATGAGATTACCTTAAGCCCTCAATTTGTTGTGCAAAAAAATTCTAGCATTAAATACATTTGAATTTATCACCATCGTACCAGCATTCCTAGTTTAACATTGTTCAGTTGCTTGCTTTTCATCAATATTCGTTACTCGGAAGAATAATACACATACATGTGGCAGTAATGTGATGAAATTCAAATTTTTTCCTCCTATTTGAATCTCTGAAAAGCTTTTCGGAAGCAAAAAGAATCCACATTCAATATTTTATCTGCGAATAGATGTGTGGGATATTTTTGTCATTCGAGAGTTTTTCTTTTGTGGCTTTTTTTTTCATCACATTTATCGCAATGTCAATCTTTCTATGCGGACACCCAATTGCAATTTGTGAAACACTGTAAGTTTTGCTTTTTTTTTAATTTTGATATTTTTTTTGGATGGAGTTGAATCTATAAAGTTTTTGGACGTTTGCCGTGATTTTTTTGGAAACTTTATTGATTCGAGAGTTCCAATTGAAAAAGGAGAAGTACATACTATCAATCCAACCAACATTTTAAATTGCTAAGGCTTTACTTTTTGACCCAAATTCAGGTATTGCTGATAAGGTTTTAAATCGACTATTTCCAAAATCAACTTGTACAAAAAGAAAGGATTTTGACCATGCTATAGAGCCACGACAAGGTTTGTTGAATAGAAGTAGTAACCTTTGAAAGCATTCTGGTAATATTGTTTGTGCAAAATTATTGTAAAATAATGATCGCAGTAATCATAGAAAAGGAAATAAATCAGTTAAATAACCCAAACAAGAGGTTTAAGACGTGTTTAGCTGAATGATCAGTAAAAAAATGAATTTATTCATATCATTGAAAGATTTGTTTGTGAACATTTGAAGAGTAAGAAGAAGCTATATTCTTAATAGTTGATTGTGAAATAAAAAGTGTGTAAGCAATTAAACATTATAAAAATTAATTTAAGATAATTTAAAAGAAATTGACAGATAACCTAAATTGTTATAACACAGCCCTGAACACAGCAATCAGCCTATAACATGTTATAAAATTTTATTCGAATTCGCAAATGAATTAATTTCGAAAACGTATGAATCATTTAATAAATCATTGAATCGCAATTTCAAATTAAAAGGATTTTTGCGGTAAGTATCAGTAAGTACTATTTAGTTGAAGTAGGCTTTACCTTTTTTAAGTGGAATAAATTAAGGATAAAAGTGATTTGTTAAACATAAAACCATAGAATTTATGAAAGCTATCGAAATAATTAGATCGTTTAAAGTCATGACCTTGAAACCATTACAGTCTTAATCATATTAACCCGAGTAGCACCAACAACAACAACTGGTTTTACGTCGACGTCAAGGCACCATCAAGTAGAAAAAAGCACGTCACGCCGCAAATTTACCGTTGTGGCAACGCTAAGGCATCTTCACGCACGATTTCGCCCCATTTGAACAATGAAATAATGGGGCGAAATCGTGCGTGAAGATGCCTTAGCGTTACCACAACGGTAAATTTGCGGCGTGACGTGCTTTTTTCTACTTGATGGTGCCTTGACGTCGACGTAAAACCAGTTGTTGTTGTTGGTGCTACTCGGGTAAGTTATCAAAATCTTCTGCTCCAATTTCAGATGTAAAAAGGAAATTGTTACAAAAATGAGCAACACAATTCAGAACAATAGACCACCATCTGAATCCATCGCTTTTAAAGAATATTTTAAACTAATTTACACAAATGATTCAAAAACTTTAATTGATGAGGAATCAAAAATAAACTGCAGAATTCTAGAATTTTCACATGAATTGAGTTTAAGAGAAATTTTGGGATCAATTTCAAGGTTGGATCCTAAAAAATATGAAAATCTGCTTGTATTTATAATTGAGGACAGAAATTTTGAATTGCCCAGGAAAAATGATCACAGAGTACCAAGAATTGTTGAGCTTATTTTCGAATTTTTAATTGAATTCAGCGGAATTGAAAAACCACTTCTTCTACAACTTAAGTCAAATGTTCAAAATTTGACAAAGGTTTATTTCAAAGATCATAATTGTTCTAAATTTACTGATATAAAGCAAAAGTCAATCAGCAAGTCTGAAAGCTTTGACGATTTCGCATCATTCATTGGGTTTTTTAAAAATAATCCACGCCAAGATTTTGAAGATTTAGTCATCCAAAAGCTACCAAAAATCAAAAACTTTGAACTGATCACAAAATTCCTTCACACATTGGATTTACCTGAAGATTTTTATGAACGACTTGTTCTAAAATGTGCTGCTGAAGGAACAAAAAGTGATTTTTTAACAGCAATCGATGCCAAATGTGATGAAAATGGAAAAATAACAAATTATAGTGCACAAAGTTATCTGGCTAATTTAGTGAAGGATACATCAATTCTTACCACTGCAATCAAAAGTTCTAATAAGGAAGTTACTCATTATCTTATGAAACACTGCACAGATTTGATTCAGCAGCTTCCATTTGAACACCAAGTTGAATCAACGACAGCTGCATTTGAAACACAACAACTAGGAGTTTTATTTGACTTATTACAACGCTCAGATTTTCCATTTCCCAAAGATTTCAAACCAAAGCTTATCACAGACAAAAGAATTCTTAAAGTTGTTGATGATCGAGAACAATTGTCCAAAGCTATTGCCAAAGAAGACAAAGATGAAATTTCTAGATTCATAAAAAATAACCCAAGTATTAAATTTGGATACGATATCAATAATGAATCCGTAATGAACAATGCACTGCGACTTAAAAAGTTTCAATCGTTCTTCCATCTCAAATCACATGGATTCCGTGCAATAGAATTTAATCATTTTAGTGAAAAAATTACTGACGATAAAGAGAAAAAAGAACTAAACAAATTTGCTCGACTGCAACGAATAGAAAATGTCAAAATATCACTTGCTGATAAACATAAAGCAGTCATGTTGCTAGCTACGAGAACATTCATTTACAATAGACAAGATGTCAATGAAAATGAGGAAGAACATCGAATGAAAATTAAAGAATGGTATATGGACATCTATAAGGTAAAATTCGGTTCCCAATTGCTAGAAGCAGCATCACAATGTGAAAATTTAAAACTAGTTTTTGACTTTGAATGCGACTCGGTAAGTTTTTATTCTTAATATATATAATGCTTGGCAGTAATTTAACAAATGATTCTTAGGTCGAAAATGTTGATGTATCTGCTTCTTCTGCAACATTAGGATCAACATATCCAGTAAGTAAATGGATATTTGTTGGTGCTAAATCGTCAGAAAGTGAAAATCGCAATCAACAGATTAAAGGTGTTATTGCGCATGAAATTTGCCATTATGTAATGCGATTGGTATATCAAAATAAAGAAAATCCTTATTATAAGGTTGACGATGAAGACTGTCGGCGATTTGATGCAATTGCTAGTGCAATTGAACTTATGCTGTTTCCACAAGAAGCTGTAGAAGAAAAAGATCAAGCAGTAGATAATAATGAATCTGAAGGACAAGGAAAAGAAGATATCCAGAAGAATAAAATCGATGATGAATGTGCTGGAATTATTTCAACAGTTTATACTTGTTATGACAGAAAAGACTTTCATCCCGAATTGATTGTAAGACCAGTCCATATCTATGCACAGTTTGACGATGACGACGAGTACACTGTATATTTACGAGAGAAGTATAAGATTCTTTTTGATTTTTTCGAACAAGTTGTAATTCCCGAGTTTGAAAAGTTCAATTTAAAGCAACGAGAGAAAGTTAAAAAATTTAATGAGTTTGTAGGAGTTTTGAGCAAAATTGAAGGTTTAAATTATGAATTATCATCCTTAAAAGATATAACGAGCCTTATCGATAGTCATTTAATAATAATAACTACTAATATCCCAAAATTATTACTTCTTAATGTATATAAACAGCTAGATCAGACTCGCAAAAATATGTTAGAAGATCAAAATGTTTTTATATCGCCTGCTATTTTGAAAAATTCCTACATTGTTCAAGAATTTAAGGCAATTGTGAATCAAAAAGTAAATTTAAACATTTTTATTGACTGTTCAATAGGAGTAAACTCAAAAGTCAAAAGTCTAATAATCAATGAATCTTCAAACTACATTTTTATAGCCTCAAATGAAAGCTATAACAAAGATATAGCTGTTTTTAAAGAAATCAAACAAAATGTTTCCGAAAAAGTAGTAAACTATGAATGGAAAGATTTAGCTGTTGAAAGTCAAAAGAGTTTGCTTCAAATGAAGGTAACTTTCCAAAATAACTCGTCTTCGTCACTTTTAGAATTGTTTTCAAATGAAAATAATGCAAATCAACAGCAAACATTTGAAGAGTTTTCAAATGTTATTGATGAAGACTTAATCAATTCGCTGATTAATGGGGTGGAAGTAAATGTCAATACCGAGAATAATGTTGCAAAAGATGTTGATATGCTATACATACCGAGAAATTTTACCAAACATCGTGATCAAGATGAAGGTAGTTCAGAAGTTTTAATTTTGAAATATTCAGAACAGGAAATGCTTGCAGACATTACAAATCAAAACTATGTTCTTATCTCAGATATCGCAGGCGCTGGAAAAAGTGAAACTGTCAAAAATATGTTAATGACAATTTGTGATCATTATTCAAAATATTGGATAACTTATATTGATTCCAGACAATACAGTATTGATGAGAAATCAGGGTCAGAAGATATTTTAAAATTTTTGGATGAAAATATATTAAAAAATAAGTCTAAATTTGAGAAGAATATTTTCAAAAGGTTATACGAAAATGGTAGAGTGTGCTTAATTTTTGATGAATTAGATAAAACTAGCTTAAATTGTCAGAAAATTTTAGCAGAAATGTTCAAAACATTTGATTCTAATCGTGGCAATAAGCTCTGGATTATAACAAGAGATTATTGTGAATCCGGTTTGAGAGAAAGCTTAAAACTAGAAGTAAGCTACAAGCTTGATGATTTTGGAGAAAATCATGGAACTGATTTGATTGCGTCAAGTTGGATACTTAATGAATTGGATTTAAGTTTTAATAATCAATCAAGAAACGACATTATTAATCAAATAAAATGTTCGCCAAACTTTTCAAAATATCAAGAAAAAGCAGATATCATTGTGAAGAAAACTTTAATATCAAGAAGTAACTTTTTTGGATCCAAATTACCACAATTTTACAAAATTGTTGCTGAAATTTTCAAGAACGACAAAATTCTTCAAATTAATTTAACACTCTTAAAGTTATATGCAGAATATGTGAAAATTCAGTATGAAAAATGGCTTTTAAAACTAAGTCACAGCATGCAAAGTCAGAACAAACAATCAAAGTATCATAAACTTCATCAGCTCATTGCAATGAAAATCTCATTTCCTGAAGATTCTAATATTTTTGACTTTGAAGAATATGGATGGACGGATGAAGAAATTATTGAATGCATTTTCCTTATTAAAATAGGAGATAACTTTGTTTTCCATTATGAAATTTTTCTAAACTACTTTGTTGCTGATTACATAGTAAGGATCTTGAAAAAGAAAGGAAACAAAGTTTCAGGTGATTTTTGTTTATACTTCATTAAAGTTCTGTCTACACCAAAATTCAAAGAAGTGCGAATGTTTTTAAATGAAGCTTTTATTGATGCATCAGTTGTGACTTGTATTAACCGTAAAATGGATAGTCTTAGAAAAAAAATTTGTGAACGTTCTGATCAATTTGAAAACTTACTGCTAATGTTTGAAGAAAATCGAGAACAAATCGTTAATTTTCTCATTTCAGTCTTTCAAAAAGGCAATTCTGAGAATTTATGTAAAATTTTGAGCAATAATATTACAATATTTGTCATGAAGTCATCGCAATTAAAACTGAAGTTTCAGGAGTTTGTAAATACGGTCCTCAATTCAGATGACTTAAAGAAAATTATTTCAATAGTGTTATCAAAAATCTGTGATTCAAGTCTCGAAATTGATGTTGGTAAATCAATTCTTAAAGTATTAGAGTCAATAAAAGGCAAAGAATACATTAAAGAAGCTTTGAAATTTCAAGACGAAGAAGGAAATAATCTGGTCCATAAATTTTTCATTGCTCACGAAGGAAATGATCAAAATTTTCAAAACTTTGCACTGTTTTTAGAAACATTTTTAGAAAAAGATGAAGTTATTGAACTAATGCAGCTGTCCAATCATACTTGCATGCATACATTCTCAAGCAAAGAATTTGTTGAGTTTTCCTTGAACCTATTTTCGGGTAAATTTGCTCATGAAAGACAAAAGTATTTCATAACTCATAAGGACAAATATTCAAATAACTATATTCATTATCTTTTAGTCAATGGAGAAGAAGATGTCATTAAATTTACATCCAACAAATTAAAAGAATTATTAAGCCGTGAAGAATGTCAAGAAATTCTGAAAACTAGAGGAAGTTTAGAAAGAAATCTTCTTCATAAAGTTGCTTTTCATGTAAACAACATCAATATTCATAAGATTTTATGGAACTTCTATAAAGATTATTTTGACAGTCAAGAAATCACAGAAATTTTAAAAGAAGTTGATAATAATGGTGAAAACATTTTTTATATTGCTGCAAAGACCTCTAATTTTAAAATTCTTGCATTTTACATTGCGGAAGCTGAAAAATTTTTACCAAAGGACGAAATTAAATTGAATTTTATGACTTCGAAAGTTGCAACAGAAGTGGAGCAAAAGCTTTTACAATTTTATGATTCTGAAGAAGTCCAAAAACATTTAACTTCTAAGGTTCATGATAAAGATGAATTAGACAGAAAAGATCTTAAAAGAAATTCTAGTAATGGAGTTCTTAGCAATTCAAATACTGATATTGTTTGGAATATTATCAAAAACTTTTTCAAATGTGAAAATTTTACGCACGAATTCAACAGACTTGCTCGACTTGAATCCTCTGAAAAGCTCCTTTCAGCTTATAAAAATTTAGACAATTTTGCAATGGACCTGAATAAAATGGAGTTTCACGAGACATTGTGGGAGCTACTTTTAAGAATTTTTAATAAGGAAGAATTGAAAAATTTGTTAATTTGTAAAAACTTAAATGATATTAATTTTATGCATGCTCTTATAGCAAATTGGACCGTTGATAAAGTTGAGTTTACATTAAATCAAATCAAGGTAAACTTTAATGAAGAAGAGATGCAAGAAATTATAAATGTAAAAGGACCATTTGAGAGAAATTTACTACAAACAGCATTGTGTGAATCAAAGGATATCGAAATTTTCAAAACATTATGGAATACTGTTCGGAATTCGTTTGAATCTTATGAAACATTTTTGGAATTCCTTTGTCATTCTGACTCCGGTGAAAATAATATGCTTATTTTAGCTGTGTACTTTACAACAAGTGAAATTTTCAAGTTTATAATTGAACAGTTAGAAATTAACCTAAAATTAAAAGAAGTTAAAGATTTTCTATACAGATTAGGCTTTGAACATAAAAGTTTGTTAAGGGCTGCAGCAAAGAACAACACTGATATTGAATTACATGAAAGCTTATGGAAAGTAATCCAAAAATATTTTAATTCATCAGAAATCTTAAAATTAATAGAATCTACAGATGAATCAGGAAATAACTTTTTTTTCAATACAGTCTTTTACAATAATAAATCAATTGTTGAAATTTCATTAAATGAAATTAAGAAAATGGAAAGCAAAACAATTTTCAAAATCAATAAATATCTAATTCATGTTAATAAGAAAGGAAATAATATTCTCATGACTTGTGTTTACTCAAGAAATGAAGATTCGTTAGAATTCATATGCAATACATTAAAAAAGAACCTAAGTTCTCTTGATCTTAAACTATTGGTGTGCCAGACAAATATAAGCGATGGAAATATTTTGCATATTGCCTCACTTAATGCGTCGCTGAATTTCCATTCAATTTTATGGACATTTTTGTTTCATACTTTTGAATATCAAGACGAATTTTATTCTATTTTATATGGAAAAAATATAAATAACTACAACTTTTTACACATTCTTATTATTTACGTCCAGAACGAAGAAATAATTGAATTTGTGTTAAGGCAAATGAAAATTAAATTAAGCAATCCTCAATACAAAGCCATTGTAATAGAGAAAGGCAAAGAAGGAAGAAACCTTCTTCACTTGGCTTGTAAATCACCAAACTTTTACAAACAAAGATTGATATGGAATACTTTGCTTGAAGTTTGTGAATCTAACAGTGATTTTTTAAAAATTATAAAAGAAGTTGACATTCATGGATGCAATGTGATTCAATGTGGTGCTCGTTTCTCAACACAGATGGTTTTTGACTATTTTTTTGAAGAGTTGGAACTAACCTTTTCAAATCATGAAATTAAGGAAATTTTAAGCACAAAAGATGATGAAAATAAAAATATTTTGCAAACAGCCGCAACATACAATTTGTCGCGTAACTTAAATGTTTTATTATTTGAAACTATTGAAAAATATTTCAATTCTGACGAGATAGTTGATATGATGAAAAATGTCGATAAAAATGGAAATAATTTGCTATTTAATTTAATCTGTTGCAATAAATCTGATACAGTACATTCAATTTGGTATAGTATCATGAGACACTTCTTAAAATCTGGTGAATTTTTTCTAAAATATTTGAAATTTAAAAACAACGATGAGGATAATATTCTTCATATTTTAATTAAAGCTAAAAATGTTGCAAAATTGAAATTTTTGTGGGTTGAAATCGAGAATATTTTTAAAGATCTTTTGTGCTCATATCAATTCAGAGATCTAATCAATGAAAAATCTACGAGCAGCAACCTTAACATTATATATCTCGCTGCCAAATCTGATGATATTGAATTTCTTGAAACAATGTGGAGTCTTTTGTTGGAAACTTTTGGAAATTTGGAAGAAATTGAGAACTTTATGTTTCAAGAAGAAGGAATTGAGAAAAACATTTTTGATATTTTTAGAGGTTTTGATAAAACAGATTTAGTTCTTTTAAAAATGGTTAATTTGTTACAAGATATTGCCAGTAAAACAAAGAGTCCTGAAAGATATAAAATATTATGGACAGCTTCTCGTAAAGCATTTAAAAATGATAAGGAATTTCTGGAATTTCTTCAAGAACAAAAGTTACTTTTTAATGCATTTAATATGGTTTTAAACTTTTCAACTGCAGATGTTATTCAATTTACAATTGAACAATTTAAAGAAATTGCAATTCCAAATCAAATCAAAGATATTCTAAGACAGCAAAATCATAGAGGACAAAACTTGCTACAACAATCAGTAGTTTATAGAAAGCCACTTGAATTCTATGTTCATTTATGGAATATTTTTCTTGAATACTTCAAACCGATTGAAATCTTGGATATCATTAATAATAATGACGATCCTGATAATAATCTTCTATTCAATGCAGTTAGATGCAAGAATATGGACATAATTAAACAAACATGGAATCAGATAAAAAATAATTTAAAAAATGGCGAGAATAGAAACGCTCAATACATAATACAAAGAATTGACAAAAATATTTTACATTATTTGATCAACACAAAAGACGAAAACATATTGAATTATTTGTGGAAAGAATTGGAAGAAAATTGTTCAAAAATGTTTATCATTCAATTTATGAATTTATTTTTCGACAGAATTTCAAATGATAAGCAAAATGTTTTGCAACTGACTGTATTTTGTAATCGTATTGAGTTTCATAAATCTTTTTGGAAACTTCTTCTAAATACGTTTAAAAATCGCGAAAACTTAATTAAACTAATTAGTCAAAAAGATAAAAATGGAAATAATTTTGTTCACTTACTTGTTATGCATGCAAATTCAAAAATAATGTTAGAATTTATATTTAATAATATCAAAGATAATGTTTCTGCAATTGAATATCAAAACATTTTGCAGTCAAAAGGAAATTGCAACAAAAATTTGATCCAACTAGCTGTTTGTTTTTCAAAAGAAATAGAAAATATTGAACTCGTTATAGGAAGTTTAAAAAAATATTATTACGAAAATTTTCTTCAATCAAAAGCTTGTGAAAAATTATTAAAATTTTTCACTAAAGAAGACGTACAGAAGAACAACGTCTTTCATCATGCCGTGTGCTTTTCCACAAGTAAAATTTTTACGTTATTAATAGAAGAATTCAAAAAATTAAGTTCGGATGAAAACTTAAGAATGACTTTGAATAAATTAGGTTTTGCAAAACAAAATTTACTGCAAAAAGCTGTGGTTCAAAATACTTCTTTAGAATTTCATGTAAATTTGTGGACAATCATAAGTATGTCAGATATTTTAGAAATGATTAATCATGTTGACGAATATGGACATAATCTTATTCTTAATGCCGTTAAATGGAATTCTAAAGAAATTGTTGAATATACTTGGGAAAATATTAAAATGTTTATTGACAAAAAAGAAGATCAAGCTGCATATTTAGAGATTGTAGGTCATTTAGATAAAAATTTGCGAGATCTTGCTTTTGAAAATCTAATAGATGTTATTAGTATGCGGATATATGTCCAAAATTTATTAATGGAATATAATGATGTTTTTTCTGATAACTAAATCTAGAGACGATCTACAAACAAACCCAATTTATTGACCCATTTATGATTAATATGTTTTTATAGGTTTTCAAATGTTTGCATTGTATGAATAATGTTGGAAAATAAAATAAAAATGACTTTACTTCATTCAAAATTTTATATATCTCAGAAAATCAGCACAGTTTTTCCAACTAACACTAGAAATATTCCTCTATCGTTATTTACACACAGAAAAATCTAACATAAACAAACAACAAGAAATGAAAAATTGTGTGGAGCATCAGCACATAAAATCTACAATGAGTTGCGTGATATTTTCTGACAGCTTTTTTTTTGTTTTCAAACAACATCCACGCATTGCAGAAAAACAAAATTGATGTAACAAAAATAAAGAATTTTCAGAAGAATAAAAAAAAACTAATGGAATTGATGGATCGAATGAATTTGCACGATGATAACGATTTCAATTCCAAATTGATTGATTTTATTCACGAACAACCTTAATCAATTGTTACGAATGGAATGGAAAAGCAAAGAGAGAAAAGGTGAGGAAGAGGAGGGATAAAAAGACTATTAAGATCGTTGAAGGATGCTAAAGGCTTTTAACGGATTGAGAATTCTCAAAAGCTTTTCCACTCATTGCTGAAGTATTTTTCCACTCTTTTTTACCCATTTTAATATCAAACACTTAAAGGCAGCATGTATTTTCTCACAGATAATTTCACTAAAGTTTCGTCAGTAAATTTAATTAAATATTTATCCATTAATTACTATCAATTATGGATTTTATCCTTCAAAAAAACAACTTTTACGTTAATTTGATTCAATCCACATGAAAGCTTTGCCGAACACAACAGATAAATAATGAAAGAAGAAAATTTAATGAAAATTGCATCAGCTTGCCTTCCATTCTATCTTATTTTATCTCACATTCATTCATTGTTGTTTAATTTGTCAAAAGATATTTGCGAAAATTACAAGAGAATGGAAGAAAATTACTTTTGTTATTTTGTCATTACCTCAATGGTTATTTTCGAGCGCGATTTCAAGTTGACTGGATTATTTGCTCAATTTTCAATTTCTGGATGTTTTGATAAGCTATGTGGTGATCAAATGTGGATTATTTGGTGTTTCTGTCCATCAATAGCCATAGGTCTTGACTGAGTAGATCTCGACTCTGAATTCAGGTTCTTTCAAGGAGGGCAGTGACGGTAGGAAACTCTGTTTTGCTTCGTTCCGATCAAAAATTCATTTCCTTCTACTTTCACAGAAGAATCTCATCCATGTGGATCTATGCTAGTGTTTATATTCCTTTAAACCATCCATACTTAACCATTGTTTTTTCTTCTCAATTTCACACAAAAAAGAAAGAACAGAGAAAGCTAAAGCGAGAATTTACTCGACTATAAATAGAAAATTGAGATTGTTTTTATCGTATTTTAATCGAATCTATATTGATTTTCTCGTCACTATTCTTCTCTAATATTTATTTACTAAGATACAATACTAGATAGCCTTTACTTTTTACATCATACCAATTTAGAAATTCTATTAAAGCATTGAGTGAAAATGAAGCGAAGAATTTCTTCTAACTTCTTTTAAAAAGAGAGTCGATGACTGTAAATTGAATGTATGAGAAAAAGTTCATTGTGTTACAACAATAACGATGTTCAGCAGAGTTATTGATTGAATTGTGTGAATTACATAGCTGATGAGGAAATCCAAGGGATTGAATGTTTTATCATTAAGAATTGATTGTTTTCTGGAAGCGTTACATTAAATGAGGATGAATCTTCTTTTAATCCTGTTTTATATGATTAAGACTATCCATCACCTAGGTTGCCCAACCATTGGAACAACAAAGTAAATAATGTGTAAAATACAGTAGAAAATGAGCGAGATAGATTGAGCTAGAATGAGTGAATATTTACACATTCATTTATTTGATTAAGCTATGTGAGTAATGTGAATAATGAAAATCAATTGCAAATATTAAAGAATGGAAATTTGTTTGTTTATTTGTCAGAAGGAAAGCTAAGCTCACAATGAATTTATATTGAAATTGATCGATGAATAAATCTTTATTCTTCGTACTTCTATTGATATTTATTAAGCTAGAAGTTCTAATTGAAACTGATGATGAGTCTTAATGTAGGCTTTATGATGAGAGAGTGAAAGCTTTAAAGAGGCAGGATTTGAAGGTTGTTCAATGTCAGTCGTCATAGAATCTAGAGGATTAAAAACTCAAACTTTCAATAACTCATCCAACCAGTAACCAATAATGAATATCCAAAATCATACAAAATCTCTGCTAATCAACAATATCAATACAATTAGAGCAGCCTGCATGAAGTAAAACTTTTCGGATCTAGCTAATTGCGAGAAGACATAGAACATTCAGCACATTAATGCGAATTCATTTAATAAAGCTATTTATTAAGCATCCACATGTTCCTCACACTCATTTATTTAATTATAAATTTTTGCCTATATAGCAGCTTCTTATTCATCATCAACAAGCGACGATGCTTGAAGTCTAACAATATTATGAAAATTTCATGATTAATTATAAGTAAAGTAAATGTTTGTTGAAGTAATTCTGAAGGATTTATATTTATTTAAACATAAGCATGTATACAATCATCAGAATTAATGAAAAATTGAGATTTTTTTTGTTCGTGCGAGAGGCATGTGTGAGAAGCATGTAAGGAAATGTAAATGAAAGGCATGGATTAATATTCATAGGATTATAATCAAGAATAAAGGAGGAATTTTATTTATTTTTGATCAACAATGAAAATGTTATTAAAATGATGAAATGTTTTCCAAAAGGGGTTCAGGAATTAGAAGCTACAGGAGATCACAACTTTTTAGGAATTCTTTGAATAGGTTCTAATCTGTATTTGAATAAAATTTAACTCAGGCTTGCGACTGTCCTGGATAGAAGTCACAATCAAATTACTCCTCAAGCTACAAATTTCTATTTCATAAAAGCTTAAAATTCAAATTCACAGCAATCCAGACCCTTAAAAGTCATCATTCATTTTCATACTTACTTTTTTCATAAATCACAAAAATACTTTCTGCAACAAAGTTGAATATAACTGGAAATAACACAATTAAGAAGTGTACATAGTTGGATAAATATCTTTCCAGCATAGATATTTCTATGGTAAAAAGCTTTTTCCCCTCAAACAATAGTGGTGGCAGTAAATAAACTCTTTATGACAAAAACAAAAGAAGACAAGTTCTTTTTCACATATATGAAGATGCATGCAGATTTTATGCTGTAGTCATACAGGATCCTTGAGGATGTTTTATGAGAATTGTGGTGGAAATGAAGCTGTGAATTGTATTAAATATTGTAGATTGTTGAATAGATGCTTTTGATTTTTAAATATGATTAAAGCTGCTTCAGACTAAAGTATTGAGTAGAGCTTGAAGTCAGTCGATTCAAATCAACTCGACTGGTATCAAAATCTGACAAAATCTTCTAAAACCAACACTATATATACAAGAACAAGAGAAGTTTTATTATTGTTAGTCTGTGGCTTCCCACAAATAATTTTAAAATCAAACAAGACATAGCCACACAGACAGAATCAAGTGCTCAAAATTTTTAAAGCAAATATTTTAACCACTACTCAAATAAAAATTTTTGCTCATTCCAACTACAACTCAAATGCTTATTTGTTGACACCATTACTGATGTCTAGATTGCACACAAAAAAAAAACAAATTTTATGTATGGTAAAGCTAATGTATTTAACCTCACATTTTTCTCGTCTTTTCCTTTCTCTGTTCTTTTCTGTCGTACTCACTCTCACCCTATGATGATGATAATAATAAAAATTTATCTCATTTTACTCAACATGCTCTTCCGAGACATAAATTTTCGTCAAAAGCTTAATATGACACATGAGCTCGCTTTCATCTCGATGCCTTTTTTTGCCTCCTGCTTGTATTTTTGACTTTTTCTTCCTCTTCAGCATACTTGCTTTTTTTTTGATTGGGATTTTGGGCCACAAAATGTCGTGAAATTTATTCAAGGACTTTTGGGGATATTTTTCGGAAGTAGACTAAATTACATTAGTGCTATGGATATTAATTATGAAGGTTGAAGGAACTAAGGTCATCCATATATGGAAATTATTCTGTCGAAACTGAAATTCACAATTAGCTGATCATGGAACCTCCTCCTTAAAATCTGAAAAATAACAAAACATTCCAAATTGCAACCTTTACTCACTGAACAAATACCTTGAAAAATACCTCACTCAGCGCTTCTTCTCAGTCTGTTGCTGCTTTTGATTAATGATTATGACATTAAAAGAGTTGCAAGTTCAGATGGCGCAATTTTGTTTTCCGTTTTTTTCTCTCTCAAGGGAATTCGCTGTAAACTACTTAATGTCAAGAGGAATCTAATGAAGGTGTATGTCACAGTGTCATTGCTGTAAAATGGTAGAAAAAATTGATAGCTTTCTTGTTATTTTTACTGTTTTTTCTGTTCTTTATTTCATCAAATGATCATTAAAATATCGAATTACATTTAACATTTTTTCATCATTTGTATTCTTTTCACAATATGTTTTTATCAATTTATAAAAGGAAATTCTTGTTCATGGCATGTACTGATGTGGAGTTAGACTAAGCTTTTGTTTGCTAGATTTTCAACTTTTTATTTCGAGAACTTAGTTGAATCTTTATAAAGCTCAGTAGAACTTCACAAAAGTCATCTCATAAATTGTTATTCTTCTTCATATTAAAACTTCTCAAATTTCATGTCTGTTTTCATTTTTTTTTCTCTTTCAAAACCTTCACATGCCCTTTATCTTGCCTTCGTTCACTGATTAAATTTGGAATCGAAAAATATTAAAGAGAAAAAATGACGTCCTTAAATTTTCGTTATCGTTCATTCACAATCTTCAAAATGAGTGTTTATGGAGCAAGCAAGAGAGGAACAGACCAGAGGAAATTAAAAAAGTGACACTTAATGTCCAGCTATTTACAACGTTTGAAAAAGATTTTTTTTTTAATAAAATGGCAGAAAAATGAGAAAATTATCAACTTTCCCTTTTCCGTTTATTGCTGTGCCATCATCATTTGAAAGTTTTATGAGCACTGAGAGGAATTATTTGTTGATTTGGAAGGGATTTATTGAGTTTTAGCTGCAAAGGTTGAGTTTTAGAGATTATTGATCTCAATGTTATGATTTATTTGCTCTAAGAATTTATTGACTTAGTATTTTATGACTTTTTCTATACTTGAGGACCCTAAGGACCCTCAACATCCCACATGCTATCCATCAACCAAAATAAATTTCCCACAGTGATAAAATAATTTCCCTTCATTTCCATATTTGTAATCATTTAAATAATTTACATCCTATCTCCATCTCTCATCGTTTAATTAATAAAAGAGGACATTTAAACGTAATCAAAATAAAATTCAAAAATAAGTAAAAGTACTTTTTGCTTTCCTTCCTTTCTTTACAAGTCCTGAACAAACAAAAAAAAATATTTTTTTTTCATGATTAAATTTTCCTTGTCAACATAAAATGAAAAGTTTTTTTTTTCTTCCTCCTTTTCTCTCTCATCATATTGCACAGATTGTTTGCCATTTGTGCTACACAATATTATTAAATTACGGTAAAATTATGGCCTAATTTAATTTCTTGCTTCGGCAAACAGCGTAAAAAATATATTTCCATTTTTACATTTTCTCTCCCATTTGCTATTTGTTGTTATTATTTCGAAGCTAGAGGACACAAAATTGCATAATTGAAAAAAATTACATGCCAAAAAATGTTCTGTAAACATTACCGTAAATGAATTTTAATTCAATATAATGCAGTACAATATATTTAAAATTGCATATCATTATCGTTCATTATTCTTTAATTTATTTTCATTATTTATCGTGTTGCTTTAAGCTTTTTGGAAAGTTCTGCAGCTGTGAATAGCTTTTGTTAGATTTTTGGTTGTGGTTGACTTTAACACTCTTTGATCATGCTGTTTTGGGGAGATTGGTTAGTCAGGTTTGACAGAACTTTGCAATAGTTCATAAAAGTTATTTTTTAAAAAAATTTTGTGATTTTTAATTGAAATTCCTCACGAAATTAATTAAAAAGCTCTTATTTTAAATCCATTCAAATAACAACATATAATCCCTCCAATTTAAACTAAAAAGCCACTCAAAAATCTGACTGAAATTTCCCAAACGCCCGAACTTTTTGTCGTGTCTCTCATTATTTCCTCTAATTGATTTTCATTTCATTAAAAGCTTTTAATAATCTCCTCTTTTGTTTAGTTTTAATTTGTGTTGTTTTTGTTTTTATTTTGGCATTATAATGGAATTATGATATTTTATGCTTATCTCTATTCGCTTTTTTTTTTGTAATTTTTCATTATTTTTACTCACTTTTGTTCTCTTAAAATTCTGTTTCGTACATTAATGTTTACCCTAGTTTTTAATTTATTAATTAATTTTGTCATATTTTTCAAAAACTATACATCATGCTGATTAAAATTGTGTTCGAAAAAAATGATAAAGTATAATTTTTATTCTAATTAGATTTTCATATTAATTTATGATAATGGAATTCTTGCAATGATTTAAACTGATTTTTATTTAAAATATGAGAGTTGATAATTAAAATATTCAAGAATTAAATTTTTTTACAAGTCTGATTTGAGTTGGTTTTAATGCAAACTTTATGTCGACTGGAATTTGAATTTATGAAGGTAGTAAGCTTTCATAACCTCATTTCTGTGATTAAAATTGGAATTTCTTCACTTTATGAAATGAATTTTGAAGTTTGAATCAGAAACTCATACTTTGAGCTGAATCAATTTCATAGTCCATAAGCGATCACCTTCTAGCTTTAAAAAATTGTTAATTATCAAGAATCCATTGTAAAACCTATAATTTCATTACTTCAATTTAATAGCTTTTTAAATCCGACTTTTATGTAGCTTTTTGAAAGCTTCGATTTTTTTTGTAGGCAACGAAATTTTTAATTGCTTTCAATACAATTTTTTCTGTGTGATTTATAAACCTTTAATGTAAATTTAATCATAGCATTAAAAAATAATTCTTACAAACTGCATTTAAATTTTTTAAAATTATTTTTATTTTTATTCATTTTATTTTTCAACATTAAAAAACGGATTTTCTTTTTTCTACAATAATTTTTTTTCTCTGTATTTATTTAATGTTTAATTGTCCATTTTCTACTTATGTTATCATTTTTTGTTATGCCTTGATGCTATTAGTAGCTGTTGAGCTATCAAATATTTTAATCGCAGACATTTTAATGAGGAATAAGTTTTCTCTTTATAGCTGGTGCTGTTTTTAAGTATCATAGGTTGAACTTATAAAAAGTATCTCAAACCACACAATTATCAGAGAAAAGCCACTTTACATACTGCTGATCATGCAAACTATCGAATACCGGTTCAAATGTGCATCAATCTTAGTTTAAACTTTATTTTGATACTTGAATCATTTATCTTAGATTACTAGTCTCGATAGGAATCGAACCAATAGTCTCAACTTAAATATGATTCTTAGTTACATGATTTTATCTTTTATTCTATTTGGAGATGCCTCAAAACTTGACAGAGTGCTAAGTTATATTATCTTGAGAGTTCCCAACAATTTTCACAGCTGGCACTTAATATAATTTAAAAACAGACCAGAATAGCAAAGGTAAAACCCAAACCTCCTTTTAATTTGTTGTGCTGTTTTTTTTTCATTATCATAATTAAACTTATTATTTTATCATTAGATTTATAAAAAGAGCAAAAAATGAACATTCTCATAATCATAATCATTAATTATTTAACAACTTTTTTATTTATTTCCATCTTGTCTACTTGAAAAATGTTTTTTTCATTATTTAAAAAGTTTCGTTTCTATCTTCTTTGTTTTTATGCTATTGAATAGTTTATTTCTCTATTGAAATTTAATTATTTTGTATTGTCAACTGAAAAATGTAAATGAAAGTTATTGGAATTTAAAGAAGGAAGTGTAGTTTGATGTTGTAACTCTTTTGAGGCAAAAGTATTTATTTTGAATTATTTTGCCACAATTGTTGATTTTTGTTTCGAAGTCGACGAAGTTTTGTATGGAGTCTAGTCGACTCGGAGCCATACAAAATTGATAAAAATCTCGAGTCAACTTCAAGCTCTGTTTAGAACACTAAACTATCATGCCTAATAACCTTCTCTCAATTCACAAACAATTGCATATCAAAAAATGAACTTGAAATTTCACAAAAACCTTTTCCTCAAAATTAATTTAGCATTCCATCTTGCATAATCATCATTGACTACTTCATCATCATAACCGCATAAAACATCGCATCACTAAATGAATTAAAACTGAGATTAAAACTTTTCTACATAATTTTTTTCTGGTTTATATCATCACTACTGTTGCCGCTGCTGTACATCCTTGGAAAAGCATTCGATAACAGAAAGCTTATGATAAGAAAGGTCGATGGCAAGGGGCAATAAGGGAAAATCAGCAATTTTATGCTGCTTATGATACTTTTTCTTTCATTCATCGCCAAGGATGAACATTCCGCTCACTTATTGTAATGAAATTTGTTTTTTAGCACATTTTAGCACCCCCAAAAGATGAGATAAAGAATGGGAATAATTTAAAGTACGAGTAGAGGGTGAGAAATGAAGTGAATTAATGAGGAAAGGATGGTAAGCTTTCTATAGAATAAGCTTCGCGGGGATGTTTATTCTCAATGACATTGTTATTTTTTTTGTATGTCTCCGTCTTTATTGTTAAGGGACTGGTGAATTTCAAAAGTCATGAAATGAATTACTTTGTTATTCACAGATTCTTTTAAAAGAAAGTTTAAAGATTGATCCATTTTGTGTGGTCTCTGAAAGCTTTTACTTTAACTTTTTTTCATCGGAGGGACGTCTAACCTCCTCATCAAACTTTCATCCATCGATTTGATTTCAATCCCTTGATTAGTTTTAATATTTAATTTCATAACCTCAATTAAAACTTTTATTTTTTCCTAAAACGGCACCGCACCCTTGGCAATTTCCCATGATATAAACGATACGAGAATCTTCTTTTTGCACTACTGGGTTGCGGATAGAGTAACATAATCGGCAACAGCAGGCAATGGAAGAAGATGAAGGGAGAAAAAATGTATGATAATGAAATAATCTTTGAAGTCAACATAAGATAGAAAGCAGCAACAGCAGCAGTGAATAAAAAAAAAACGAGACCAAATACGCAAATATATAAATAAGGGAGGAGCATGAAGGAAGAAATGTTAATGATAATTGTATTTTGCCGCTGTTTTATGGCAATGTAGCTTCTTCGCTAATTAGTGCCCGTCCTATCATTTCTTTATACAAATTAATTTCTTGTGTCTAAAATATTTTTTATTTTTTTGTTGATGAATTAAAAGTTGGCGACATTCATTAAATTCCGTACTTGAATCTGGTTATAAAATACATTTACGTGTGACAGAATTAAGTTCGTCATTATTATTAAAATAAAATTTCTTTCCTTCACATTTTTTATTCTTTAAAAAAAATTGGTAATTTGACTAATTCCTTAAATTTATCCCAAAATTTTGCCAAGAGTAAATCCAGGTCCATGATGTTGATCATGTTTGGATAGTGTACGATGACGATTTGGTTTGAATGGCTGAAATTCATCATTAGAATTTGAGAATTTATTATTCACATGATAATTCTCATGATCCTCGCCACTATCATTTCCTCCACGTGCAATTGGTTCTGATATCTCTGAAACATCACTTTGGAGATGATATGCATTGATATCATTACGCATTGCTGTAGTTGATGTTTGTGCTGGAAATTCAGAGACTTTTATGGCAGCTGATGGAGATGATGTAATTATTGTGGTTGTTGACAAGTCAACGAGTTTTTCAGGACTTCCACTTGACTGTAATGTTGTTGTAGCTAATTCAGAAACAGACGAGCTTTCACTTTCATCAATTATCGTAGATGACGGTGAACTTTCTGCCGTTATCTCAAATGTACTGCTGCTACTGCTACTCTCATCTGTCGTTGATGTTAATTCCTCGCTTTCTGTTGTCGATGATGGAATTTCTGATGAAATTATCGTTGTTATTTGCTCTGTGGTCGCAACAGTAGATGTTGTAGTCGTTGTCGATGGCACTGCTTCCTTTAATCCTAATCTCGGATCTGTTCGCTTGCCAACCATAATTGGCTTTTCGCTTGACTCGACAGTCGTTATTGTGTTCTCAACTTGCATCGCTTGTGCTGTCTCATTCAACGGAATTTCATTATTTTCGGCCTTTATTGTTGTCATATCCACAGCAGTGCTGCTTTCATCAGCAATATCTGTAACATCAACAATTGTGTTTTGTTCTGTTGATGGATTTAATGATGATGTGATAATAATGTCCGATACAGTTGAATGTTCAGTTCCTGTCGATGTAGTCGTTGTAAATTTAGATTTAACTAATAACATTGGTGGAATGAAAACATCAGAGTCACTAAAATTAATGCGTTCGTGAGCTCCATCAGGTTGAATTGGCTCCTTAAAAATTGCTTGCGACATGTGAAGTGGATGACCATGAACGATAATTTTAGTTGTTGGCTCTTCTGTTGCTGGCGTTGTAATCTGCTCTGTTGATGATTGTGGCATTTCAGTTGAAAACGTACTTAATTCCTCTGGGGTTGAAGCATCATTTGTTGTTGATGCACTGATGTCATTTATGCTTGTCGTTATTTCAGCAATTAAATTTGCATCACGTCGCTGACGATCGGTCGTGGAAATAATTGTTGATGTTGGTAATTCTGAATTTTCTGTGGTTGAATGAACATCCTCAAATGGTGCATCGCCCATCATCATGTCATCATCTCTAGCTTTCAATTTCTCCTTCATTTTTTCAGACTTTTTCTTAAAAGTTTCTTTTTTGTCAGGCAATTTAAGAAGAATCTTTTTATCACTTTCTTCATCGTCTGGAATTGGCTGGTCACCAACCATCAAGTCTAAATCCATTTTCTGTGAATCAGAATCATCTAATCGATTAGAATCAACTTCCACATTCATGTCAATACTATCAAAAATATCTTCCATCATTTTTTGTGGATTTTTAATAATAACTTTCGGTTGAACTTCCTCATCCGCTTTAAATGTTGTCGATGCCGTGACTTGTGTGTCTAATTTTGATGTTTCAACTGTAATCTCTTCCGCTGATTGTGTCGTTGACAAAATTTCTTCCTCTGGGCATTTCAATGCATTGTACATATCCATTTGATTGGCCTTTGTTTGACATGAAATTTCCTTCAATGTATCATTACAACGACGTGATAATTGAACAGCACCGGAATCAGAAATGTATTGAACAGTTACATCCGGATTTTCAGTACAATGAATTGCCCATTCTGGGACTTTGTTTGTCGATGAGAGGAAGAGAATGAAAAAGTTTTTAATGAGATTTAAATTTTTAATTTTAGGGCTCGGAGTGGAAGTAAAATATACAGCCAGGCTGAGTTAATTGGTATTCCCGAGCATGCTTAAATTTAAAATAAAGAATAAAAATTCAAAACTTACTCTCCATTTCGCATAAAAATGCGGCCGTTTCAGGACCACCACATCGCAATGTATGCCAACGATAGTCACGAGATGGATCGATAACAGCACATAGCGGCGTATCTGATACTGGCCATGGTTCAGCCCAATATCCTTCTGATACGGGCAATGGTTTAGAGTTTCTGTTGAGAGAGCGACAAAAATAAACATTTTTTTGTGTGTATTTAAAGATCAAACATGAAAAATTCATGAAATAACAGAGACCAAGCAAGAGAGAATGGCAAACGAGAGAAAAAAAAGTGTGTGGTGCAAGCACCGATAATTTTATTAAAAAAATTGTTTCTGTTTATTTTGAAAGGCTGCCAAAAAAGTGTTGAAAAAATAAAAATTCAGCGAAAGAATTTTTTAAGGTTTTCTCACTTTGATGAGGGGTTGCTGTTGTGAGCTAGAAGAGTTTTTATCTCGCAATTTGTTTGAAAGCTCTTGAAGTTGAATATTTTTCTACAGAAGCACGAATGGTATCTAGTTTGAGTGGTGTGAAATTTTATCACGTAACAACGCGCAAATATTTTGCTTTGCTGAAGGAACTGCTTGTAAAAATGTAAATGTTCACCTCAAATTTTTTTAATCGTTTTTATAAACTTCAGCAGGGATGGGTAAGGCACTGTGTATCTTTCCTGAAAGACACAAAGTTTTGTATGGACAGTCGCGAATCTTTGATTAAGCTATGAGTACTAAAAACACTAGTAAAGCTACTTATAGTCTTTGTTTGGCGGGCTTTAGGGAAGCGAAAATGGGTCAAAATTGCTTTTCACCTTTAACATCAGGAAATTTCACTTTTCGCACTCAAATCGAATTTTCTGCATTTTTGAACGACAAGAACACCTCCTTTTCCTGATATATATTAACCCATAGAACATCAGAAGTGAGACATCCTCGAAAGTTTTTAATTTTTGACGCCACCACACCAAAAAAAGCATTTAATTGAACTCACGAGAATTTTTTCAACATTAAATACAGCAAAATGAGGGCAGCAAAATTTAATAAACTTGCACTTCAACATCCACATTCTCGTGCTGTTTTAATCTTTTTTTCATTTTTATGATTCCAATAATCTGATGGTGTTGAAACAAGCATGAGAAAAATAAAAAATGAATTTTTTGAAGTGGAAAAGAATGAAAGTTTTTCGTTTAATATCATTTCCTATGAGCATTAAATGAAGAAAGTTTTTCATAATTTCCAGTGATAAGTTTTGTTCTGTTCATGTTTAGCGGCTTTTTACTTTAATGAGGAATTTTGTGCTTAACTTTTTAATGCAAAAATTATGAAATTGTCTGACGAAGGAAATTTGATATTTTGAAACAGTGCTGGATTTTGGACTGTACACAATTTTGAATCTAGGCTTGCTTACATAAGCTTGGACCAGACAATACTAACATACATTTCACAACAGCTCAAACCCCATTAAAAAAGTAGCAAAATCTATTGCATCATTCTGAAGGATTTCTCATTACACACTTAGTAAAAGACCTCCTGCATCAAGGGAGAAATTATATGCTTTTCTAAAGATATGAAACATTGAAAGTTTCTTTTGAAAAGAAAAAGTTTCATCCACAATGAGGTTAATTAAAAGTCTGTTGTGAAATAATTTTCACTCCCTTAATTCTTTCTTTCTTTTTTTTATGCAGCTATCGTACATGAAAATTAAATTTTATTGAATTAAGAAAAGAAAAGGAAAAGTTCAGCTTTAGATCTTCAATGTTACTTAAACTAAAGTTCTTAAAGAGTTGAAATTAAATTAAATAATTTTCGAATACAAAAGAGTACTTACGTCCATGAAAACTGATCTGTATTACTAGGGCGCATTAATCCAATCCATACAAAATCCGGTATATCAAGCTCCTTTAGAAACAGTCGAGTTGCATCAAATTGCTCAATGTTTTCAACTGAAATAAGATAAAATAATTGAATGAAACTCGAGAAATGCTCAAAATAGACGATTTTAGATCTAAAAAAATTATTTTTTCAATAAAAAGAAAACTTTTCATTTAATTTCAAGTCTGATTTATTGGATATCCAATGGATTGATTTTATAGTAGAAAATTGAAAGATGCTTCAAGATAAATTTGATTTGTTGAAGTGATTCTTTGTTCTGAAGTTGTAGAGAAAATTAAATGGATTGATATCCATCAATGATAGACTATGGCTGAATAATGCGGAAAATGGATAAGATTTAATCGAGAATATTGGAGAAAACAGTTGATTTGTTACATGAATGAAATCTCAAATTTCTATATCCATTTCCATTGTTGGTGTCTTAAGCTAAATTAAACGCCTAAGCTATTTGAACCGTTCGATCCAATGAAAAATCTTACCCAACATAAACATCTGAGCTAACATCATTATGTCCATTTCTAATTATACTTTCATGTCTTGTATTACTCTCGTATTTTGACCTTATCTGATATACTTCTTGCTGTACATTACAATGCATGACACAACCTTGTAATTTAGAAATTATCAAGACAATTATACACTCTCATTGTTAGACATCTGTAGAGTAAATTTAAATCCCACAATTATGTTTGTTTAATGTCACACTGTAGAATAATTGCGAACTGTCAACTGATGAATGATAGATATATTAATTAATATGATTTTATGCTATTGGATATGTGCAAATATTAAGTAAAGGTTGTTGTTTAATGTTTCAATTATAATTGAGGCCATAGATCACATTGAAGGGCTCTTATAAATAATTATCTAATTTCTAAGTTCATTTTTTATGTTGCTTGAAAAGTTTCTCGTGTACTCGTTCACAATGCTCTGATTTTTTTCCAAAAAAAAATTATTCACAACAAAAAAATCATTCGCACCTGAATCAAGTTCATTTTTGGTTCATTAAGCATGAAGCAAATTTTCCTATCTTTATTTTTGTGTTGCATTAATTCTCAAAATTTGTTATCTTTTCACAAAATAAAACTTTCATTCAAAACTTCCTCTAGTTCTTTCGAAAAAAAAAAGGTAAATATTTTCTTGTACGAAAAAGGTAGACAAGATGAATGAATTGAAAGAAAAGCAAATTTCTCTTCTCGTCTTGTTCCTCATTTTGTAATTTAAATAGAGGAAGCACAAAAATAAAAGAAATTTTCAATGAAAATAAAAGAATTTCGTTTTTGAAAAGAGATTGAAGCAATTAAGGAAATTGTGTTGGGAGATTTAATGCTTATAGCGCTTTGTAGAACCGAAAATATTAGTATAGATTAAGTAATGAAATGTGGCATGTCAAATTTGAATTGAAATTGAACTGAAAGTAGTTTTCTCTGCTGAATTTTGAACTTAGATTGATGTTTTGAATTTATCCATTAAACGACTGTACTTGAACTACTGAAATGATCTTAAATTCATTAAGATGCTCGAAAAATAGTTCCGAAAATTCCAATCAAAATGCCACCAAAAGTGTGTTTAATCACCGATCGGAACACAAAAAAGTACCTTAAATCAGATCTCCATTCTCAATAAATAAGCTTGATTGATTAGTCAACTGTCCATTTGCTTACCCAGCATGACAAAATGAACATAGTTCATTCATTCCACAATAAAATTATAACCAAACGAGAGAAACGATAGAAAAATATCTTAATGGAAAATTACAGTCATTGCTTTTAATGACCAAACGAGCGAGGATGAAGGAATTAGACAAAGACTAATGACGCTTTCAATAAAAGCGAGAAAAAGAGAGATCGTAAGACAATAAACGGAGGAAATTTGCATTATTATTTTTTTGTGTTCATTTTTTCTATTGAAATTGCTTTGAAAGCTTTTTTGGGAAATTAAAAGTTGGCAATAAGCATCAGCAGCCATTGAGTACTTAAAACTTCTCCATAAAAGCAGAGAAATGGCATCAAATTATTTTTGTCTTCAGACTGCAATGACTTTCAAGAGAAAATTATAAAACTTATCTTAAAAACTTCAGCACATGCAGAATGGAATGTACTAAGCATAATGTCACATAGCAAGAAACCACAATATTGTAAAACTTTATTCCTCCTCCTTCATAGTCTTGTGAGTGCGGATTTTCTGGTAAAATCTCTTTATATTCTCGCACATAACAATATAAGTAAAGAGAGGATGAAAAAGCAGAAAAAATGATGAAAAACTTTTGCAGGAGAAACCACAAAAAAAATCTCGTATGGAGATTATGGAGATGTGAGACATGAAGCGGGTGGAGTGGCAATAGATGAGCGTTGTGGAAGTGAAATAAAACTTTAAGAAATAAAAAATTTTTAAAAATAAATTTGAAATATTTTTTTTGTTTTTGACAGTAGAAGCTAGTCACTCGGTTTATGCTAGGGTAAGTGCGTATAAAGATTTGGGAGATTAATCCATAATTCTCATTCATTACCGGATAAGGTTTATAAAGAAAAATATCAAAGCAACATCATTAGGACATGGATATAAGAACAATTAAATAAGGTTCTTATTTTTATAAAACTTTTCAAAACTCAATTTTAAAATCCACTCATAAAACCTGCAGCACAAATTATAAAATATTTTTAAGCTGTTTTAAGCAAGAAAAAAAAATTGGAAGTTCAAAAAATGCCATTAAACTTTCATCAACAATTTTTTTGCCCTAAAGATGCCATAAATGTTTATTGAACATATTTTTATGTGAATATAAGTTCAGCTATTGTTGATTCTATTTTATTTAATCTAAAATGAAAAAAATTATCGCAAATAAAAATGTTTTTAGAGTCAAAAAATAAGTCTTCAATAGAATCACAGCAATGAATAGTAAAAGACGCCATAGAAATTTATTTTATAGTGCATATTGTGTAGATTGAAAGTGCACGATGGATTTCAGCATATGTTGTGTAGAAATGGATATGGTTTGGCTATTGAAACATGCTGTACAATTCAAATAAAGGAAAAAATTATTATTTAGTTTCTCCTTTTCCATACAATACTAGATGTACATTTGAAAAGATTTTTTCTTTAAATAAAAAAAACAACTAGCATGGATAAACATTTTATTCATATAAAGCATATATGTAAAAAGTTTTTGAACACTTTTCAGATAAAACATCATACATGTTTCGCTTTTTATTCATTTATTTGACGTTGTTTCTAGCTCTGTATCGTTCACAAAAGCTTTTGAATAGCTTCATGAGATTTTTCAATTTATATCATGTGTAAATATTGCTGGAACTTATTCAAATTCAGTTCTAGTTCTTTTTATAGTGTTTGAAACTTGAATTCTATAGAGATCATGTAGCTTACAGGCTGACTATCTGCTTTATCTTTAGGTTCACTAGGTTCAAATATCAATATCTATCATTCTCCCAAAACAAAAGCAACAACATTTCATTCATCCTACATCTACATGCCTCTCTAATCCAAAAAGTATGTATATTCAACTTTCCAAAATTTCAATTTCAATTAATTTCATTTTGGATATCTGTAAACTTTTTGTTGTCCACTGGGTTTTGTTACATTAGCATTATTTACATCATAATATTTCAACTAAAAGCTCTCGACTAATTAAGATATATTCAGAATTGTCATCATAAATCATATTTTTATTATCACCAAACATTTCTCAAAAGAATTAATGATGCAGAGACATTTTTACAGCACAAAAAAATTAATTGTATGATATTTTTATGATTCTATGGAACAACATAATGACATTTGATATTATATTGCTAAGGATTTGTTCTCTAGTAACGTCCAAAATTTAATTTTGTTGTTCTTGTTATGACAAAATGTTTGAGTTTTCATTCAAATTAATAAGCAACAGCACAAGCAATGAGAGAAGCTCACTGTAACTTTATGACTCTTAACCTCAAGTAAACTTAGAATCCATGAATGTAATTTGTGTACGAGCTCCAAAAATGCTTTTGTTGCTATGGAACAAAATATTACATTACATGCTTATGATCCAACTAATTAAAAGTTTCCATCTCATGAATTTGCGTAACTTGAAAATTATAATAATCCAATTTGAACAAAAACATAAAGAAGAATATTTTAATAATTCAAAATGTCATCGCTTATTCAATTCCTGTGTTGCTTTTGCCTCTCATCTGAAGTGCAATATAACAATAGAATGATGAAAGAACAAAGAAGCTTACAAAGTTTTATTAGCACACGTATAACTCATCGTGAAAGCAATTGTTGAAGATGGAAATGGAATATAAAAAAAAGTTTTCATCCTTCATTTTGTTTATCCTCGTTGAAATGCTTTCAGACGTAAGCCTGTCACAATTAATCCACAAAGGATTTTCACTTTTAGCAGAGTTTTTAGAGTTTCGATGCAATTGATTTATTCAGTTTTAATAGAAGAGATTTTTGCGGTTAGTTTTGAAGATTTTTGTTATTTGAAGGTTACAGGAAGTTTCTGATTGATTTTTGATGTTTTATCAATTGTGAATCATTGATGTTCACATTAAATTCTAAGTCGTTGCGAGTAAATCAAGTATTTTCAATTTTCTACATAGGTAATGAAAACCCTTTGTATTAGAATCAGTGACAAATTGAGCGATATTCTGCTAATTGGATGCTGGAAAGTTAAACAAATGATGACTTCATATTGCACACTTATAAGTTCAACGTAGGTTAAGAAATAGTCCACATATACCCATATCTAATGCGCTCAAAACTCCCTCAATCCAGCATCCTTCCACCAATTGATTTTTCCATTTTTATCTTCCATTGCACGAGCTTTTTTACTTCTCAAAACTTGTTACAACAAAAGCAGAAAAGAGGAGGGGATGGAAAAATTATTGTGTATAAAAAAAGTTTCTAAAGTGCTCTTAATCTCTTCATGTTGATTTTTTTCCCTTTTTTCCATTTATATCCCTTTCAGACGCAGTGTAATAGGTCGAGACATTTGAATTTGAGTGAGTGCTGGAAGCTCTTTCTCTCTCACACAAAATCATTAAAA